GGTGTAATTTTTTTAGAACATTCTGAGCACGACAGATTATTTAATCACCATTCTAACAAGGTTTTAAGAATGTTCCCAAGACATCCAAAGAACATTTGCAACATTCTCTGAGGAATGTTTACCAAGATTCCACAATTATGGCTTGCTTAGCTTACAGCCCCACTGGGCCGTACTACATATATTGATATAATAAATCTCCTCACACCGATCAATATTTTTTAATCGAAATATATTATTTCCACGCCTAGCACAATCTCGCCGCATTTCCAGCGCATTAGCCAGATTCCTCACTCCGAGCATAAGAACAGATACCTACGGCATCCCACACTCAAGCGGGACATACCTTCTTCAAGGTATTGAATCCAAGATGCTAAAAATCGGGTCTATTCAAAACTGCCCCTCTACATACGCAGTGAGTGCCAAGCTCATTATCAAATTTCGAAGACCATTGCTTTTCTCCTACACGTTATCTCACATTCCTCGGTAGACTCATATAAGATAAAACTGATTCCTTATGCTAAGTTTACAAAACCACCACTTAATTTGCATATTTTTAGCACAAGGTGGCATATAGTGGATGGTGTTTCGAAACACAGGTTGCTTGAAAGCTCTGTAAAGTTGGCTTCACCCGCGAAAGTTGTAGGAATGTTCGCAAGCGAACGTTCCAAGAATGTTGCACATATGAATGTTCAAAGGGGAACATTCCGAGAACATTGTGCATACGAATGTTCGCCAGCAAACGTTTCTAGAATGTTGAGCAGCTTACCTTGTAAGGAATGTTCGCATACGAACGTTCCTAGAACGTTCCGAATGGTGTTTTAACGTTCCTTCGACATTCAGAACACCCAGGGAATGTTCGCACGACATTGGATGCTACGTGGGCTCTACGGCGCAGCACGAGAGACCATGTCACGAAACAGTCTTTCTGCAGGTCTAGTAAGTTCGGTCACGCGACAAGAGCTGTGACGACAATCTACTTCACTTTACGATGATCCGCAACAGACAGCACGAGAGCCATCGAAACCAATCAAGTGCCTTCTGAGTGTCGCGTGACCCTGGGGCGCAGCAACGCGCCGGGCGTGTAGTCCTCCTCAACGTGCTGGATTGCCTGGGGTGACTCGTAGCGTCCGCAGAGGTCCATCACAAGGTGAAACAAAGTAGGCAGTCTAAAACGAAGGAAATGAGCGGGAACCCGCTAGCTTGGCTGTAACCCTAACCCACATGAATGTAAAACATGTAACACAGAAAACAAGCATCGGAACAAAGACAAAGTAACAGGCGGACTTAGACGTAAAAATGCAGAATAATAAAACAAGTATCGGAGCAAAAAAAATAAAGCAAGAGGAGAAGAGAGAAGTGAATCTCGCTTTGTTTTATTGCCGAAGGAAACCCACAGTTCTCACTTCAAAGGAGTGCGCGCGAATGAACACGGAAGGCAGCAGGTTTGGCCGCCTGCTAAAAAACGCTCCTCGAACTGTAACGCCAGTAAAGCCCGTCGCCTGCACGAAAGGCGCCACCGCCGCCCCCCCCACCCCCCCTCCCCCCTTTCCCTCCCCCCTCTGCTCTTTGCTTTGACACTTTTTTGGAACTGCATTTTTTGCGTACAACTCTGTTAGAGCTCCACGCGGGTAGACTGTTTCCCGCCCGCTCATTTTATTTCTGAGCAACTGGCTCACTGACTGGCTCAAATTCGCTGACCTTAAACACTAAAAAAAATATAAAAAATAGAAGAACAGAGTCCATTCCATTCCCATTCCATTCCGGGCAAAAGGCATCTAATTCCATTCCCATTCGATTCCCCTCAACGCTGCCGCCATTCCATTCCCATTCCATTCCAGGGTCGCAAAAATTCGGAATGATTCCGGAATCATTCGAACTCCAGAGTGGCAACTCCGCAACACTGCTTGCAACCCACAAACTGCTTCGTTTTTGCCTGCTGCGATTCACACAGTGAAGATATTTTAAATGTTCAGGCAAACCATCTTGCGAGCCCGCAAAACTTAATTTCGACTTTACTTGCCTCAAAAAGTGATATTGCAACTATTGATGGTGCGTTATTGCATTGCAGTTCCATTAATGTGCTCCAAAAACTAAATTGAAAACGAGGAAAAAGTAGGAGAAAAGGAATGTGCTTGAAAACTTTCCAAGGTGCGGCTTCCCCGCAATGACTGCGATAGTATAACGAATGCCGGAGATATCTTAGATAACGATCGCATCACACGCCTCCAGAGCCAGACTTATTGCCCACTGCGCCTCCGTGGACGCCAGGCTGACTACCGCCTCTGCAGCAGGAGGAACAATGTATGCTTCAATGAGCCGCATGAGGGTGTCCTGATTGGGTACGAATCTCCTGCCTCCCTGGCAGTCCTTCAGGGTTCTCTCGTCACCAGCATTATGCCTCCTAAGCAATGTCTGGCAGACCCAGACATAGTGTACAGTGTGGGCCGCGCAGGGCCCAGCTCTGCTTTGAGCCCGTAATACAGGTCGTTTCCCACGGCGCGGAACGCGGCGGCCACACGCACCGCTTCGGTGGGCAGGATGTTTGCCACTCGGTCCCATGGGAACAGGGGATGCTCATTTATAGCTCTCTTGATAAGCCGGAGCCCTGCGAGACCCGAGCCCACTGCTTGCTGCGTCACGTGTAGACGAAAGTTCCATACAGTCGTCATGTGTTCCTGAAACGTTGAGAACACAGATCCCAGGTGCTCATGGGGGATCTTGGTCCCTACTTGCAAGAATGTGTAAGTGATGGACTCTATCGTCGTGCCGACCTCAAAGCCAAGCGCGTCTGCCAAATTGGAGTTGATCTGGTCAAGTTTTTTCTGTGTTACGCAGCCACACTTGGCTAGGTTGCAACGTCGTCTACGTCTGTCTTACCTTTCCTGCGACTTTCGGAAGTCGAGCGAGCTTGACTTCGCCTTTCAGAGAGGGCAGACGAAATAACTTGAGCGGTACATTGTTTTTTTGTCTAACAACTAGCAGACGCGCATCAAGGAGAGAAGTCAAAGGACTCACTGGCGAGGTGTCCCGAGGCGCCGAGGTTTGTTTGCCAGGAACCGAGAGTGAGGGAGGTTAGTGTCCGCAAGTTCCCTCCCAAATACTTTTTCCCTCCTTTCGTGTGCGGCGAGACTCCTCTCTTTAACGGCGTCAGCGGGTTGGTGCAGTTAACGTCGTCTGCTTTACGTCTGGTAGTCGAAGCGGTGGCTGCTTTGCCTTTCCTGCGTCTGTCGGAGATTCACCGCTTTTTTACCGGCGAGAGTCACCGTTGCCTCGGAAAACAAGGAGATGACGAGGAAGAGATTGACCTCTTAATATAAAATTGAGGTCAGCGATCAAAGTATAAGACGGGAAGGGTTCGCAAGGGTCGCGCGGGCATATTCCATTCAGCACGCCAGCCGGTCGTGGCCAGACGGTCGCCGAGTCGGAGTGCCTGCTAGGCCTATCTGCCTTGCTCGCTTGGTCATTGACGGTGGAATCGTGGCCTTTGGAGCTTTTCTAGGGTGTTTGTGGATCCAGCGTTCTTGTTCGTCGTGATCTGTTTCAAGTACTTTTTACTTTTTTCTTGCAGCTTGAAGTCGGGACGCGTGAGAAGCGCACATAGAAAAATAAACGTCCGTTGGTCGTCGCGGCCTCAACGCTGTCGGCCATGCTGATTTGATCGTAAGAAGTGCGTAAAACAGCTTCGGAGCTGTCCGTAGGATTTCGTCGTAACATCCGCAAAACTTACGAAAATTTTGTTTCGTGAATACAAACTTGTTCTCAAGTTTTGTCTTACGCATATTTTTGGCGTAAGATCGTTTTGTGAATCTGTCCTCTGGCCTCTACACTTCCGAAAGCCGTAGGAAAGGTAAGACAGACGCAGACGACGTTGTAAAGGAGCAGACGACGCTCAGATAGGGGGTCGCGATCAGCCAATCAGGGCTCGGCGTTCTGTTGTCACCGCTACCCCCTGCGCAAGAAGCAGACGAACTTGCCCTCCGCATAACTAGCATTCTCCTTGATGCTTGGGTAATTCAGCAATAGGTCTATTCAGTAATTAGTTAATAGGCACCATTTTCAAGATCAGTACAGGTAGATAACAAAGGTTTCTCAAAGATTTGTGCTGTGCGACTCGCGTCGGCCATGTCTATGCTCGCACCGCCCTCTCTGTCATTGTTCCAAGCACCCCCTGGCTGGCGTGCCTAGTTTCCTTTCCTTCTGTTGTCCCAGGGTGGCCGTCCCGTCGTGCGCGTCTACTTTCCTCCGGCTCCTCAGGGCGGGTGTGTCGCGTGCTAAACAGCTTTGCAGGTCATCCGCCTTTACAGAGTGGAATGGCTCACCATATTTTTATTTGAAACTATTCAAATTTTCTCGCAGCCATACACTTTGCGCGTAAAACTTAAGCATAAAAAAAACAACCGTTTTTTTTTTTTTTTTTTTTAATTTTTAGTGGCATCGTTAACAATGCCATGTGCCAGACTTTGTTGTCTTTCCAAGAAGAGCTTCTTTTGGTGCAGACATGGAGCAAATTGTGCATAAATGCATCCTTTGGAGCAGCAGGTCATTCGTTCTGGCGCAGTTTGGCACAAATGACGCAGCAGTTCCACCACTGCCACACTTGAGTGGAATGCTCTGCCCAAGCAAGTTGTTAACTATTGTAGTCAATTATTTGAAATCCAGTTAAATGAATTCCTCGATAAATGAACTGCATGCCCCAGTAATTGTGGTGCAAATTCTATTAGTTTAAATAATAAATATTTGTGAGGTATTACATTTTTTCCCTTCCTTTCAAGTAAATAAATAAATAAACAAACGGAGAGAAACTTGTTTAAGAAAGGCAGATATTTAAGTCTGCTCGTTGGTGCTTCGAGGATATTTTTCTTTTGAAGGAAATATCTCGCGACCCCCAACTTTCTGATAAAATAAAAATTAAGATTCCTAGGTTGAGTCTCCTCTAAAATTGTTGCAAACAATCACAAACGTAAGCACAAGCTCGAAACAATGGAACAGGGCTCTTGGAACAAGGTTGTGAAAAACAGCTTTATTAAATAATCCCACCATCGGAACCCCGCGCTGCGAAGCAGTGGCCACTCCTAGAAAAAAAAAGACCCTTTGCCTTCATGCAGCGATGCTCCTTTAAACAAAATGCTTTGGTTTGAACACTCATTCCATCAGGGAAGACAAAACACCTTTGTTCGTGTATGGCGCAACGCCTAAAAAAGTGCACCAACCTCCTGCAAGAGTCCATGTGGCTAAACTCGCCAAACCGGCTCGAGCACTACAATCGCACTGCCCCCGGTTTGCAGTATTAAGGAATAAAAGCGGCGGCATCCTCGGATGCATTGGCCCCGACCGGGCACGAACCGAATGCAAAAATTTCCGTCGTCACAAAGCGACGGAATGTTTCATTGTGGAACCCTTGGAGTCTGAAGCGGCAATAAATAGTCCGTGCACCTGTGGGTCCACCACATTGATGCAACATTAAAAAAACGTCGAGAGGGTCTTCGAACCACAGGGGCCACCCCGCGACACTGCACCGTCTATCAGGAACGTCGAACCACACGTAGCAATCACAAACATCTCGCTCCAAGGCTAGCGTGGGCCTCGAAAACAAACGCTATTTACACTGGTCCTTCAATAAATATCCCCGCAATACCCAACAATCACCTGAGACAGCACCTTGCGAGCAGTCACTTGAACTGAAAGCTCAAAACTGGCTTTAGAACAAGTTTCCTTTTTGGCTTCAAGGATGAATTCTGCTCCAACTCCAAAGCCAGCTACAGATATGGCTTGAAAACTGGCTCAGTCTTGGCTTCGAAACCATCTTTGAATCGAACTCCAGAACTGGCTTCAGCTTCGAATCCAATCTCAAAGATGGGTTCATCTCCGACTTCAAACCTGGCTTGAGCCCAGACGTCAAAGTTGCTTGAGCTCCGACTTTGAAGCTGGCTTGAATTCCGACTTCAAGGCTAGCCCGAGCTCCGATTCCAGAGCCAACTTCAACAAAGAAATTTAGAGTGAGCTCGAACCCTTCAGCTCGGGTTTCAAAGCCTACTTTGGCTCCAGCTTCAAAGTCTGAGCTGAAACCATTGGCTTTAACTCGGACTTTCGAGCAGGCTTGAGTTCTAGCTTTAGAGCTCTCTCGAACCCAGGCTTCAACGCTGGCTTAAACTCCAATTCCAGAGCTGACTTCAACTCACTCTTCCCAGCGAGCTGTTGAGTCCAGGCTTCATAGTGGACTTCAGCTCTGGCCTCAAAGTCTGAGTTGAAACCACTGGCTTCAGTTCTGGCTCAAGAACAAGCTTTCTTTCCAGCTTCAAAGTTGGCCTAGATTCCAGCGTTCAACTGGAAGCCCATTTCTAGAGACCGACGAGCCTTTAAGTACCGGAGTCGGCCCGCACTCATAGCCGCACGCTTCCCTCGGTGGCGGCACTGTTGCACAGGTGGTAGTAGCGCAGGTCGTTGACGAAGTTGTCCACGCTCTGTGTGAAGGAGGGGAGGTCCCTGTCTCTCTTGAAGCCCTGCGCCAGGCTCTGGCGCTGGTTGGGGTCCAGGCCCTCGCAGGAGCCCAGGAAGCCCGGCAGCAGGGTGGTGCGGAACTGGTCAAAGTCCACCGAGGCCATGTTGTGCAGGGCCACGTACACCTCGTCCCGCAGCAGGTCGTGCGACCGTGCGGCCAGGCAGCGCAGCAGCACGTGCACAAATTGGGGGAGCATCCCGGACCGGAACACGGCCTGCGAGCAGGAGGCCTCTGCTTGTCTTCCGAGCTAGTCGCACAAATTCAAATGGATACGGCACAATAGGACTACTGTCACGACCAGCTATAATGAAGTCGGTTATAATGAAGTAGCACCTACAGCGAAACGATCACGATTTCCCATTCCCTTTTGCACTTTGTTATAACCAGTCGGTTATAATGAAATAGCAGATATAACCTACCTAGCTAGCTTACCACCTTACTTTAATGATTCTAAATGCGCCAGTTAGGCAGAGAAAATAAAAGAGGAGGGGGTGTTGCCATTTATTTAAAACAAAATATTTTTTGGTATGTTGATGAAAATTTCTCTGTAATCAGAGCTGACGTTGCGTGCCTTGTTTTAGATGTCGAAATTGTTATTATTGCTGCTATTTATAGACCCCCCACTGGTAATAAGGAACATTTTAAAAATTTATTGGAAGACTTACCACCTTTTCTTAGACTGACCTACTTAGATTTTAATTATGGGTGATACAAACATCGGCCTTCTTAAATGTAATAGTTATGTAATAGAGATGAATAATCTCTTATCTGCTTGGGGATGTTCTAAAGCTGTGACACTGCCCACCCAATTGACTTTAGGAACTTCTAGTTCAATAGATATATGTATCACTAATCTCAATGCTAGGAAAGACACATCTGGTGTATTTACACAAGATATAAGCGACCACATGCCAGTTTTCTGTCTGACATCTTTCTTTTGTGGCAAAAATACACGGAAACGCGATACTTACTCCCACCAACACATAAATAAAAAATCACTGGAAACTTTTTGTGTCCTGCTCGAGCAAACAAACTGGGAGAACGTCCTTTTGGAACGTGACCCCAACCTTGCTTATGCACTTCTTTCAAACACATTTAAGTTTTGTTACGATGTTGCTTTTCCGCTTATTAAAGTAAACAAACGTCAAAATAATGTATGAAAACCTTGGATTGCAAATGACTTATACAGGCGTATTAAGAGGGGGCGCACCTCAGAGCCCGATAGAGAATACATGAGGTTTTTCACCAACTTAGAAAAATTCTCACAAAATAATGGCTGCGCGGATCTTCTTGAAAATTTTGGCTTTAAAGACATTGAGTCATTATCGAGACATTAAGCGGAACAAATGTTTTATTATAAATTTAATTATATTCTTAAAAAAATCATGAAAATGGTCAAAATGGCTAATTCGGCACTCTTGTGTTCGGAGCGAATTTACAAAATTATCTAAATGCAAACATAAAAAGTGTTGCGCTTAATGTCTTCTAAATTTATTATGGAATCGAATAATATCCAGATTATTCATGTAAGTCGATCTGTTCCGTACCTACAGCAAATATAGAGAACCAAGGTGTCGGTGCTTGTTTTTGTTGCTTTTAAGGTACCTCTCTCTCCCGTGCGGTGGCGCTCGCTGTCCACGAAATGCGAAATCGTCCGTTCGGAGATCGGCCGGATCGGCACAGTGCAAGGTGTTCTTCCGCGGCCGTATTTCGCGCCCGTATCCTGTTTCATTCTGCACGCCAAGGCGTCAGTGTGCGTGTCTTGCTTTCCTGGTTCTCGGTGGGTAGGTCTCAGTGTTTTCGCAGGTAGCAAATTCACCTTGAAGCCATGGGTCGAAGACAACCGTCCTGAGGCAAGCGTCAACGCGTTGTGCTTGTTTCTACTTGTTTTTTTTTTTCTTTTAAAAACAGGCTTTTTTTTTTTTTTTGACGCAAAGTTTTATTTTATTGTTATCCTTCACACAAACGTCCTTCGGCCTTGGGGTCGTGGAAATCGGGGATGAAGCGTGCACAGAGTAGATCGTTTCTTGCCTCCTTTTTATTTTTCACGGACGTCCTGTGACCTCCGTTCGGTTTGTGGTCACCGCAATCTAACGCGGGGAAAAACGGGTCGCCTGCTCTGTAGTCAGGGTATTTTTAGGGGGGTGATAACTCGCTGTTCTTCTGGAAATTCACATATTGCCCAAAAAGGTGACATGGGTAATGATTAGGGTATGTTTTTTCCGGTGTTTATTTTTGAGCGAAAATCGGTGCATGTTTTTTGGTGCTTATTTTTTAATCACCAGTGTATTATGGTTGAACGTCTCGTGATGACACTAAAAAGCGTTGATAATTAAAAAAAAATGCGATTGAACAAGAAAATTTCAAATTTCCAATTCTATTCACATATCTCATACGCTCTTCTCGTGGGAGCATCTATCCTGACGAAAAATGCCTAACTCATTGAGCTGTGAACGCATACTCAGTGTACAATCTTTCGGCCTAGAGAGGTATTGCGCACGCTCGAACGCGCTTCACAGCCCAGTAGACGAAGTTGGTGGCACCCAGAGGGCGAGTTTTTGAATGGTCTGTAGTAGGCAAAAGAAACAAATAACAATCAATGCATATCAGTTCTCCAAGCAAAGAGGCGCATTTCTAAGGTCAATGGTTCCGGACGGCACTAATGTTGTTGGCGTTGTCTTCCAAGAACCACACTGACCTCTGAATAAGCACTGGAAGGGTGGAGGATCGACAAGATAAAATGTTTCACAAACTTCTACAAAGGAGGCGTTTCGAAGGAACTAACCATCGCTAGGCGGGAACAGTCACCGACTGGAGTGTTTTGGTTTTACCGAGGCCGAATATTTCCAACCACCGGAGTTTTCCGGTTGTAACCGATTTAGTATTTTCGTCACCGGCGGATGTTTATCGACTCGAAATATTAAAGTTTGTCATGAAAATTATGGCTTTTTTTTTTCTTGGTGAATAGAGGTGATTTGTTGAGCTCCAAACTTCGCATTATCGAAATAACAAACATCGAAACGTTGAACACCGGATAATGAAGTTGCTAAAAGGCCAAAGCGCCGGAAGGCAACCCTGAACTGCAACAATATTTATTTACTTCGACTTCGAAACGTATTTCTGTAAGGGAAACTGGATTAGGGTAAGAAAGAAGGGAGAATGGAAGGGCCGGGAAGGGAAAGGTAGTTCGGAAGAACAGAGTGAGGAGAATAGGGAGTTTCAGCGGATTGTTTCCGCGTCATCCGACCAGGGTCCTTGAACTACGCAGAAAAGACTGGAGGCGTGCATGCTCAGTTGCGGCGCCTTCTTTGGGGATACCGATACGGAGGAGAAAAACGGCCTGCTGAATCTCGCTATCTCCAAAGCTGACTGGTAACGTAACGCAGAGGAAATGGCGGCCAAACGTTCCGGGCGTAGCAAATCAACCCCCTTTCGAGATACGCTCATGAAGGTGGTGCTTATGTTATGTTTGCAGCGACGCAGAGCAAATGCCTCAACGATCGCGATACCTCTCAAACCCTGACCTACGCAAATAATAATCTACAACACGGTCAAAAGCCCTGTCTTGGGCACCCCGATAAGTCGTGTTTGTTAGCACTGCGAATTATCGGTTTCCCGAAGTTAGCCCAAAGAATTTCAAAGTAGGGAGTTTCTGTGTGCCTAAAAAAAAAACAAAAAACGAAGCACCCTAAACATTCCCTAGCTTCGCTTAGTGAAGTGGCCTACTAATCCTTGGGGTCTCGTGCCTGTTCTGAAAACAGAAAAAAAAAGAAAGAAAAAAAGAAACTCAAACGTTTTTGCTTAGACCTGAGTGACACACCCAACCCTTTTCGTAACAAGAGTCGTTACGAATTTCTACCTCGTTTCACTAGGAAAAGCAAAGAGAAAAAAAAATGCCCTCCCCCTCTCACCCTGTACGTCGTCTGCTTCGCCAAGTGGGCTGTATCTAGCGTCCAGCTGGCGTTCAAACTCGGTTTAAAATTGCGTCATTTTGGAAATTTCAAGCACCTATGCGCGGATTTTGATGTGTAATGTGTAATGCTATGCTCGATCAAAAGTTTAACCGAGTCTAATTGCAATGTTACTTGCGTGCAAATAAAAAAAAAAGGAAGAAAAAACTGTGTCAGAGTGGCCGGTCGCTCCGGTGAAAAGTAAATCCGGTTGCTGTAGCTATTTCACTATACGAAGTTCGTACTGGTGTAGGCCTTTAGCGACAATGAGTGGAAGTCTGGAATAATAAATAAAAACGTGCTCTCTTGGCGCAATAGACGCTTTTGTGTTTATGACAGGGAAAACTTGCTATTTTGTCTCACCAGGACCGACGAAGTCTGCTTCCGGGCATTGCCATTTCGAGGCGACTGCAAAGCATGGGAAGATGCTGGGCCTTTTCCTCTATATTATTATATGATCTCTATGTTCGATGTAGACCATCGCGATGCTCGTATTATTTTGAACCGCATATAAACGCAACGTTCCACTTGTGAAACGTCCAACAAGTAAAAAATGTATGATAGCATCCGTCATATATTCATTACTTCCATAACATCGTGGCACCTCGTATCCTAATAATCTTTCCTCGTTCATATGTTTCTTTTCGCATTACGGTTGTTACGGCGTCAAATAAAAAAGACGCAACAGTTATTTAATTACATGCACGAAGCATGTAATCTAAAGACCGTACACTCTGTGGTTTCAGTCCACCTAAGCTTATGAGTCCACCATATCATGTGTTGAAACAAATAAAAGTCATTGCCAAAATGATTAGAATAGAAAGTGAGTCTAATGCGGGCATCTTCCAGCCAACGTTCGCGCGCCTTCAATACGATTTCACAATAAATCGCCACTGTGCCCCTTGGACACACTTTGGGGACCAACACATGCCTACGTAGCTGCCCAAAATCTTGGATCAGCGTGTAGCGCTGCACCCCAATAAAATTCGAAACGAACTCTATAGGCTGGTTCACACAGTTGTGTTTGGTGCCGCTCGAGCACAACGCGTGTCTTTCAAGCTCAGGCATGTCTATGCTCGACACAACTGCAGCCATAGCAGCCTCTTGGTGTAAGCGGGCGCAAGTGGTTGCAGTCGCAGTCAAACGAAAATGTGTGAACCATCAGCCTTCAATCGCTCCCATCCGCGTAAGCAAAATCAAGAGCACACCAAAAACGAAAAAAAAAAATGAAAAAAAAATGGAGTGGAGCGATTAACTGGATTCA